CGAACCGAAAATTTCGTGTTCGCGACATCACTACTTGGAAGCAATAGTTTTGTCTTTTTGGATATTTATTATATAAAAATATAAATATAAAATCCATTAGAGCAGAGTTTATAAGATTAAATTACATGCTTGCAAATATCATTAATAGGTTAACATCCCCTTCTGAACATGTCATCATGTCAGCCTCTCTGTCATTTTAAGATGGAGCAGCATCTGTCTCCAAGTCTCTCCTCTGTGTCTTAACATTTAAAAGTACACACATTTATACCTTAGGTGTCTCCATTTTAGGGTTACCGTAGTTCATATATGAAAAAGTAACTTTTTTACTTTATTCATTTTAGGACCTCCCTTAATTTGGCAAACATACAAGGCCATAACTAAAGGGTGCATACGTCATGGAAATTTTCCAGACTTAGTTCAGGATGGCATCTTAAAGTCTGAATAGCTTATCTGTTGTTTATACTAAGACGTAAGTGCACAGTGGTGGGAGATTCCCGGATTTGGGGAAGTTCCATTAACTTGGGGTTACAATAGTATATTGTGTACTGAAAGAGTCGTAGTATAGCCTTGAAGCTTGTTTATGCATTATTGTTATTGTAATTCGTCTGGGACAAAATGGAGCAAACATATTATGCACTGAGGTTATTGCTTAAAGAAACGGTTATGAAAAACAATATGTTCCATTTCTAACACCTTGTCAGTTTGCAATATCTCTTAAAGACAAAGTACACAGTTTATGAAATACAACATTTCATTCTAAAACGTGCAATATTTGCATTTGCCCGTAACAATACTGTAGTACGGCACTCACCTATTTGAGTCTGATAGGCCTTGAGAACATTCTAAACATCATTGTTTAGCACCCTTCCCACAATTATGTGCTCCTCTTGAGCCTCACTACATATAATCAATGAAGCCTGGTTCATAGGGGCAGTTTTTGTTACAAGAAATAAGAAATTAAATCTAGTATTGTGATTCGGACTAATGGTAAGTATGTTGGGAAAAAAACATGTCTGTTATGATTAGTTATTCAGTTAAGACCCTCATCCTAAGTAAAGGCTGGAAATTGTGTGTGTGTGTGTGTGTGTGTGTGTGTGTGTTTGTGTGTGTGTGTGTGTGTGTGTGTGTATATATATATGTATAGAACATATACACATAGAACATAGAACTAAATTATCATTCAGGTCCTATACTATATCTTAATGTATTCTCTCTTTTTTTTAATTTTAAGAAAGAGAAAAGAAGTTGGGAAGTAAGTTTGAAGAACATATTCTATGTTAGAAAGTAATAGAAAAGGCAACACAGATAAATACAAATGTTTCTGAACATATGTTACTAGAAGAAAATAAAAATATATTATCTCATCTAATGTATGTCTATTCATTTTCAATAATAAAAAGGGGGGGAACATACATTTATGAGAACACAGATGAAAATATTGACCAAAATATCTACCTAGCAGACGTTACAAATTTCACACAGCAAACTATGGCCTTGATTTAATTATGGATGATACACTCATAACGCTGCTATGCTCATAGTGGAGGAGCACTATGCAGTAGCTTAGCTGATCCTGTAATGGAGCTACGTGTGAGAGTTTGCCGGGTATTCCTCCCTATCCACGCACAGACGTGGTGCGGGTTTGTTTTAAGACCGGAGGTGTGG